CCTGGTTTGAGAAGAAAGGAGACAGCTGGTTTGTACTTTATTAAGGTCAGAGAGAAAAAGAGAAGGGATGCCCAAGTTCCCTCTCTGTGTGGCTTGGTGGGAGTCTGGTGGAGAGCAGGAATGTATTTCCACTTACAAAGAACTCTTCTAAACCAACAGATCAGAAACACGTCACAAAGATTCTTTGAGAGGTAAATTACTGAGGGTCTTAGTAGAGACATGCCTTGCTTTCTTTGTCCAACAATACCTTTTCACAATTTTAGAAGTATATTTCATATTTTTCCATTCCTCTTCTCAATAAATAAATAAATAAATAAATAAATAAATAAATAAATAAAATATGGGCAATAGGAAACCTTGTTCATTTACATTAGTTTCTTTCAAGCTCACAGCACCACGAAGAGCTCCTCACTTTGTCCCACTCTCCTGCACCTCCTTACTCTTCTCTGATGTGGGAAGCTCCCTGCAATTTCCCTCTGCCTGCTTCCTCACCAGCACTGGCGGGATTCAGAGGCACAAGCTCAGATCCCGAACATCGTGTAATGCACCCAAGGAGATGAACTCCACCACTTGCTGTCACATTAGAGCAACCATCCAGCTTCCAATCCCAGCTGGCTGATTTCACCTCTGGTTGTGGGGTTGCACAAGTGGTGTCAGCCTGGAGCTGTCCTGCCCCACTGGCAGAAGCGTGCCCAGGCAGCACTCAGCTAAAACAGCTAAAACTGGCATGCTGCCCTATGCTGTGCTGCTGGGAAAAAAATAAGGTTCAGCTCAAGCCTTGAGCAGGAGTATCTCCTGATCCTTCCATGTTCAGGGGAAAGTCAGCCACTGAATTTAAATATTTGAGCTAAACACTTCCACTAGCCTGCCACCAGCCTAGGCAATGCTGTCATGAACCAAATATCACACTTATTTTCCAGAGATTCACAGAGCTCTGCACATTATTTTCAGGCCTGTCTATCCCTAGTTCTCTCTCTGCTCTGAAGACTTGCTGAGGAGAAGAGGAAGAAGTTGTTGCCACACTTTGAAGGCTGGATGAGACTGTCTGACAGTGCCTATTGACTGAATGACCATCAGAAAAAAATGTACCACCTGAAGGCGCTGGCAAAGCTCATCTCTTAGAGTTTTTTACATGGTTCGTGCAAGTATGTAATTAGGAGAGCTGACTCCAAGCCAGTATGGAGGCTGCTTTATATACTAGCACCTGTATCAGCCCCATAAAACCCTCTAACTTTGGTTTACTGCTCCTAATTTTGTCCTACATTGTTGTTGTTGTTGTTGTTATTATTATTATGATTAATAATAATGAAAGAATTTCAAGTTCTTTTCAGTTTGCCTTCTCCTTCCAGTAACCAAAGACACAAGAACATGAAATTATTCAAAGGCTCAAAGCAAAACAATAAAAAGGCAATGCTGCCAGCTTTATACATACAGGATATTTGAAAGTGTACATTCAATTTACATCTATGGCAAGGCTGCTCTGTTCCACCAAGTCAGCGTCTAATTGAAAAGTTTTGAGATAAATTATCATTCATGCCATATCTCGCTCTATAATCACTTTAGACTGAAATTAATGGAATGCCTGTATTGGCAATCATGACTTTATTGTTGATACTCATTTCTAGTTCCAAGATCCATTGGGGTTCCAGGCCTTGTTATCTCACTCCCCTTCTTCAATATCTGAATAGTTAAACTGATTCAGAAGTAACCACTCCATCTCTTGGCAGCACCTGATGTGAATACTCCATCAGTTAGCAGGCACAGGGTCCCCCTGCCCTATTCAATCCTCCCGTTGCTCCTGAGGTCAGCAGGGCAGGTTGCGTTTGTGATCTCTTCCCCTATAGATCAGGTTTCACACTGCTGCCCTGGCCATGTCGAGGATGACTATTGGTACCAGTCATGAAGGAACTGTGTGTTTACTATGTGCGTATGAAAGTTACCAGAAACCACTGGCCCCAGTGGAGGGATGGATGCTAGGGCATTCCTGGTCTTGGAATGCGTTTTCACAGAAGACTGAATAGGCCATGGACACAGGTAGTTGCTCACTCTTGAAATACTAATGCATTCCTACAATGATCACTCTTGTTGCTCACATACATGTCTCATTTTATGGGTTGGGAACAAGTTTGTTTTTTTTCTTTTCTGGAGGCACCTTGAAATTTTTGGTGCTATAGCTGTTGAATGTAAGGTAGATTGCAACTTAAACCAACCAGAAGCAATTAGAAGTTGTTTTCACTTCAGTCTGTTTCTTTCCTAACTTTATTTTGACCCTCCCTTTGGGGTCATTTATTTCTCATGTTAGTTAGTAGCTTTTCCCATTTGGGGATTTGGTAGTTTTAGTGAAACATCTAAAGGAGAAGACCAAGAAAACTCTCTCCTTTTTTGGCTAAGAATGTTTGTTCTGCTAATATCTGAATATAAAAACAACCTAATACTTGGGGCAAAAACAGGGGACATCCTCAAGGGACTTTTATCTGCTCCTAGGCTTATTTGAACTTTTCAGGGGAGACTGTTTAAATCTCAAGAACAGACTTTAGCTTCATATTACTTTTTCCTTTTTATTTTTTATTTTAGAATAATCTCAGGGTATGATTTTTACCAAGAGTAATGTATATATGAGACTAACTCAAAGGACTAGCTTATTTTCTTTTCTCTGTGGATTGGTCTTCTTTCCTTCCTTCCTTCCTTCCTTCCTTCCTTCCTTCCTTCCTTCCTTCCTTCCTTCCTTCCTTCCTTCCTTCCTTCCTTCCTTCCTTCCTTCCTTCCTTCCTTCCTTCCTTCCTTCCTTCCTTCCCTCTCACCATCACCCTCTCCCTCTCCCTCTCTCTTTCTCACTTTCTCTCCTTCTTATACTAAAAAGCAATATAAAACAAATACACAAATCAACTTGCATTGTTTTAGATGGTGTTTGGTGAAGTTCTAAAATGATATTTTTCCTTCAGTTTTTATTATCCCCAAATAGATTTCCTGCTCACTTCATGTTTGTTTATTTAAACTGTGCCTCTTGGTATTGTAGGAGCTCAGGACAACTTTCCATGTACTGCCATTCAGTTCCCACAATAGTTAACTCCCAGGCTCTCAGACAGATGACTTGCCAGATACTGAGTGATGCCATTTGAAGCACAGCCTCAGATGAAGAGCCTGGGGCCCTTTGCTTGGCATGCCTCAGTCATTTTGAGCAATGGGACAACTGCACACTTATTTTTGAGGGAGTCATGGTCAAAGTGGTTATTTGCTCTCCCTCTCACCGAAGGCAAATGGTTGCAGAAGGTAACCTTCAGCTTCTTCAAGGACGTTCTTCAACAACTTCAGGGAAATCTGAACTCACCATGGATGTATCTGGAAGGAGATTTTTTCCATGCTCATCTCTGAATGCTTTCATGTGGGAATGACCTTAGTAAGTCCAGAACTTTTTCCTCTTCATTTTACTCTTCAGAGGCAGAGACTTGGGTCTTTTCATATTGTTTTTTTTTTTTTTTTTTCCTTTTTTTTTCTTTTTATATGTATATATATATATATTTCCCTTTTCTATTTCCTTTAACCCTTAAAGTATATAGATATTCTCCTCTCCTTTTCTCCTATGAAGTTTTACTACCTTTCCAGCAACACAGCTTTTGAACACCCTCCCTCTGTAGCATTTCCAGAGCACTGTTTTTGGGACTCTTCCCACTCACTCCAGTCACTTCACTTACCTGTTGCACTCACACTCACTTCTCTACCACATTTCCAGCTATGTTGTTTGTTCCCTCCGACTGAGTATCAGACGGTGGCACAGTCAACATACAGGTGAGATCATCATTACCACTTTTGTGCGGGTTTAAATGCCGGCAAGCCCTGAGGCTCCCCAGATTATTTACTGAACGCTCTTTTTTAGGGTGTGATATCTTTTCTTAAAAAGATGCAAGTGAACACAGGAAAGCCATGGCTCAGGAGTGAAAATTTATGATTGGGGTCAACAACTCTGTTTAAATATTCACTGCAAAAGTTAACCCCAGTAAAACTTCTTCCCCTAGCATTTGATGTTCTTGACTGCTTGAGGATATAGGTAAATTCCCAGCATGGCATGTTAACAACCAGGGCTGCATATACAGATGAGCCAAAGCAGCCGGACAAGCTTATTTCCAGTAGTTAGTCCCTGTTAACACCACTGAATCAGCAAGTGCCTGGAACCTGACTGGGGCAGGTAGGAAGCTAACAGGGAAGCAGGCATGACATATTCCTACATAACAATGAAAATAGTCTGAAGCCAGTGCTGCTTATTCTCTCTTATGGGGTAAAAGGAGACATAGAAAAGGAAAACTTCATCCAAAACAGCTGTTATATACATTATAACAATGACAGGGAACCTGAACAACTATTTCACTTTGTGATGGGTTGGATTTGTAATTGTTTGCAGGATATTTGCAGTTTTGTTAAGTGGAATCAGTGTGTTTAAACATGGTTAAATTTTATTATAGCGAGTTGGACTCGATGATCCTTGTGGGTCCCTTCCAACTTGGGATATTCTATGACTGTATGGTTGCATACTTTTGACAATTAAAGCTGGTCAAATACAACAGTCTCAAACAGTGGCATTTTGTATACCCTCTACCTCCACACCTGGAGGAAATAGAGTGATGAATAACTGCGTATTAATTTTACTTATTTAATTAAAACCTTCCTGGAAAAGGTATTAATACAATTTTTTTCATACACAAAATTTTGTGGTACACAAAAATGTATGAGCCAAATTCACTTGAAATACATATGTATAACTTCAAATGAATGCCATTAGCTTCAAAGGGAGCTTAATAGCCCTGTCTGGGAACAATCTAATGCTGTACTAAGAAACATCAATAAAAGCCTCTGACTACTACATCAAGAAACTTCACGATGTGATAGAAAGGTTGCTTGTCCAAGAGCTCTTCAAGGGCATCTCTTTAGCTGTGGTTTAACATCCACATGCTGAAACTCACAGAGAAGAAAGCTCAGTATTTCCCCTAGCATGATGCGTTTAGCAATCTTTAATACTTGCTGAGAATAGTTCCAGCTCGGTTTCAGCTAGCATTAGTATATCAAAGATGGTTTTCCTTTTGCTAAGACTTCCAGATATGACCAGAAAACCAGGGTCCACAAGGTAGAAAGAACAAGGGGAGGGGAGGAGCAGACAATATTCACAGTATATTTTTATACATATTTGCAGAAGGAAGAGCTGTGCTATCCAAACTTGAGCTTTCCCCATGGATGAGTCAAACATAACGTTTCATCCCAGCGAAGGCACAGAGAACATCTCAATGCACAGAAACATTTCTACACAGGAAAGGGTCTGGGAGATATTGACCCCACTTTGGGTAATTATGATCATCTCCTTCCTGGGTTTTTGTGAAAATGGAATTGTCCTCTGGTGCCTCTGCTTCCAGATCAAAAGAAACCCATTCACTGCGTACATCACACACCTGTCCATTGCTGACATCTCCTTACTGTTTTGTACATTTATTCTGTCAATTGAGTACATTGCTGGTTTTGGATTCGCATATGGTTTTTACTACTATGTAACCACCACACTGTCTATTGTCTTCCTTCTTGGATATAATACTGGTCTCTATCTCCTGACAGCCATCAGTATTGAGAGGTGTCTGTCTATTGTTTACCCCATCTGGTACCGATGCCACCGGTCACAGCACCAGTCAGCAATTGTGTGCGCAATTCTGTGGACTCTGTCTTTTCTGATGACAATAGCCGAGTATTTAACATGCAAAGATGATTCAACAAAAGAACAGTTTGATGAAGCCAACCATTGCCAAGCAATGCTCATCTTCACATGGATCCTGACTTTCATGATCTTCATTCCTCTAATGATTCTGTCCAGCCTGATCTTGGTTATCAGGATTCATCGTAACTCCCTGAGACCTCACTCGTCAAAGCTCTACATCATCATTGTGGCCACAGTCATTGTCTTCCTCATCTTTGCCATGCCTATGAGGCTGTTGTATCTTCTGAATTACCACCACTGGTCATCTTTGCTCAGCCAGCAGAACCATGTCACCATTGTTCTCTCCACCGTTAACAGTAGCATCAACCCCCTTGTTTACTTCTTTGTAGGAAGCAGCAAGAAGAAGAGGTTCAAGGAGAGTCTCAAAGTGGTTCTTAGCAGAGCACTCGCGGATGGGTTGCGGCCGAGAAGCCAGGAAGTTGGCATGAGTTTGGATATCGCTGAAACGATTTTCTGAGGCTTAGGGGGGTAAGTTCTGGGGGCAAATAATCGGACTTGCAAGATTTAATAAACCACTGCAAAACTAAGAGCATTTTTCTTCCATAGAATGTAAAGGGAAGTAGTGAAATGGTACTGTTATCTTTGGTGGTTGAGTAATGGAAAAATATGGACTAGAATAAAGATAACTTTTATTTGTATTTTCTTAATTATTCAAACACATGCTACATCCTGATGTGACTATGTCAGTCAAGGATACCACAGTGGAAAAGAGACAGGCCAACAGAGAATATAAAAAAAGGACACAAATATGTTATAAATAGTGTGACATTTATAAAATCACTGAGCACCCATAAATGCTATTGAAGTCATCAGGGCCTGTGTGTATTCGCATTTTTAAAAGTCAAACCCACTAAACACAGGATTTACGTTACATACTGGGATCTATTACAGCTGTTTCCAGCTTGTTCAAGTTCACAAAAGAGCTGCTCCCCGCAGGGAGTAGAAGAAAAAATCCACATATAGTCCCCATACATACCCACAAACATATAGCACGGCTTTGGTCTAGCAAGACATGCAAGTATATGCTAATGATCAAGTTCTGTGGTTAAGGGGCTACTTCAGAGTCTGCTCTCAAAGTATATGCTGCATGATTCCCAGGGGCATCATCATCCTCTGGTTCCTTGGATAGTTTGGTACCTGACACACAGGAGAAGCTGGCAACATATGGATGTTGTCAACTCACATAGGGTTTTTGCCCTAATTGTGAAGGGTGGGACTGGCATATCCCAAAATGACAGTGTTCCTGTAGGCTTAGTTATTCAAGGGGTCTACGAGAAAGTCATCCCAACACCTGCAGTCCCAGCCAGTGTCTTCAGTATTCAGCTGTTCTCTGGAGAATACGTATGACCTTTGTGATCTCAGTTTTATAATATCAGCTTTGCATCAGGAAGAAAGAAAGAGAGGTGCCTCAAGCAGTGTATGACTGGGGCTATACCTCAGCAAAACCATTCCAGCTGACTGCCTCCTGTATGGCAGGGCACCTGTGCTGGTATGTTGCTAAGTGTAATTCCTAGGGCCGCTTGCCCACTTAGAGCCAAGCTGCAGAGAGCAGAGGAAGACAACAGCAAGGAAAGAATGGGACTAGGTCACATTTATCAAACAGACACAGAGTAAGGGGAGTCTTGGCACTTTCAGAGACGTCTGGGAGACACATTTGCCTCTAGCCCCCATGGGGCTCCAAATCCAGCAGGAACGGAAAGCTCCTGCCACAGGCAGCGGCAGCATCTTCAGCCTCCCGCCAAGTTTCCACTGGCACAATTAATAGCTGACTGGGGAAAGAAAAATACAACCTACCCTTCCTTTGTTGAAAGATTGCCAGCCCTGGAATAAGGAAGATGGTAGGTTAAGGCCTAGGATTGGATGGGAATTAACATAGAGAAGAGCTCTCAGAAGGATAAATATTTCTTCTACGCACATTCGCCTCTTTCCTTACGTTAAAGTGTTGCAGTGTGTCATTGCAGAAAAGACTCGGGGAAAATAAAAGGTTACCTCTATTATCCTTCCAGTTCCCTCACTCCATTAAACCCTCCCCTGTGACAGCCCCTCTGCTTGTCCAAGATCTTTTTGAGGCTGCAGTCCCAGGCTTGCCACCTCTGTAGATTTAGACAGTAGAAGAGTGCAGCCTGCTCCTCTCTTTGGGTACTGATCTACCGAACTGCTGGAATGACACGTCAGCAGAGCAGCTTCCCATTGCCAGAGGTGGGTGCAGGACACGGCAAGTAGGTCTGTGGGCACCCTGGGGGCAGTGGAAATGTGTGTGTGTGGTGTCCACATACGCATGGCAGTGTGTGCATGCACCTGCTGCGGGATGGGGTCTGCTGCCCACACGTAACCCAGAGCTCTCAGAGTGATTCAGGTGAGCCAAGACATGTCACTGTGCTTAACCATACCTTGGTTACTACGGCAGGTCTGGCTTAAAGGTCACTATGCATGCAGCTAGGTCAGTAGATCTGAAAGGGCAATATTGTATTACAGGGCAATATGGGTGCTTGTAAGCTGCACAAGGTACTCTGGGGTGTTTGACTTCCTACCCCATTTCACCTGTGTCTGTCTATGCCACCAAACATTTCAGAATTTGGACAAATGGCCACAGATCAGCGTACAGAGCAGACAAAATTAACATTAATCATGAGACGAACATCCAGAAGTATGAATAAGGATGAAGAGCTAGCAGCTGAAAAAATGATTAATGTTACCCATTCCACAGATAAAAATATCTTAGGGATGTTCTTTCTCCTTTATCACAGCGACTGATGACTCTTGCCTGTGCAGACAGGCTGCAGTACAAGGGAAACTGATAAGCACATTATTCCACCATTAAAAAATCAACATGGAGAATGTGACATATCATTTGTTGCACAACAAGAAAGTGATTCTCCACCAGTGTGACTTTTCAAAAATTATTTGCGTCTCTGGGAGAGTGTGAAATAGCCCTGTGCAGTGTCAGGCGGTGTTAATAAACACTTTGCAGTGGTGCAGAACAGGAAAGTTTGTCTTGTGGGTGAAGTCCTCTCCATGGAGTCCAGAGATGTGGGTTCTACTTCGATGCATTCTCGGCATCTAATCTTTCTGTCCCTCACATTCCTGCCTGTAAAATAAGGATTACAAAATTTTCTTATTTTCTTATTCTGGGAAATCCTCTTAGAGAAGCTGAATTACTTCCCAGTTGTACTGATTGATGATGTAGAAAAAAAATCCCACCTTGCTCCCTTTCCTGGCATGAGAATAATCTACAAGTGCACAGCATTTCCCGTTATAAAGCCTCAGGTCACTTTCTACGGGGAGGATGGGAGGGACAGTTAAACTACAGAGTCATCCAAAATATCCTAGAGAGATCTCCACTAATGTCACAGGTGATTTTGTCCTCCAGCAGCTTGTGATGCTTGGCAGGGTATGCACCTGGGAGAGGTTTCTTCCCAAGTCCTCCCACTCGGTTAATCTCAGAGTGAGGGTGATCCATTTACAGGGATCTGCTGCATTCTGCATTTCTTTCCTTGCTCTGCTTTCCTGACCTGCAAATACCTGCAGCCTGTTGTCTGTTGTGCCAGACCTGCACTGTGTACTCTGGTCCTTGTGGGGGGGTGTGGACCCCTTTGGCATCCCCATGGGCTATGGGGGAGACCCAGCTGTGTGCCCACTGCACCACTGGGTTTCCTGAAGAAAAGACAGCTGCTGGCTGGTGCTTTCAGTCTCTCCTTCACTTCAAGCAGTAGCCTGTGGAGGTTGCAGTGGTGATACCGGTCAGCAGAGGGTATTCTTGGATGGCACCTACATCAAGGGAAAGCACAAAATCAGCATGGAATTGTGTGCATGAGTCTGTGTGCATGCCTGTGTGTGTAGCTGCCACAATATGCTGCCTGTAATGTGTGTTGTTCGATGCTCCTCTTCCTAGCTGCACATAGAAATCATTTATTAAAGTCCACTACTCTGAACTTCTAGCTACCTGTGCAATGGGAAGGCCTGTTTGGTTTTCATTCAGTTGCTTGGTTGCTTATGTGATGTCCTCAAGGAATTATTTTTGCTATTCCAGTGGACTCAGCAACCCAAAAGATGAAGCACTATGATCCGCATTCAAAGCAAAGCACTGCAGTTGCAAAACTGAATTCAGAGAAGAGGTACAAAGATGAGATAGCCTGTGTGGTTCTAATACTTTGGCCTTGCATATAATCGTTCAATTTTTAACTATATTATTACTTTTTTTTTTTTTCCCAAACTGGATTCATGCCTTATCAAATGTACAGACTGGACCTGATGCTGGTACATAGTAAATACAAAATCCTTGCTTCATTTGTTTCAGAAACAGGGAAGGTAGGACAGGAGAAGGGAGGGAGTGTGGCAGTGTCCATCTGGCCTCAAATCCTATCTCCAGCAGTGGTCACAAGCAGATGTGCACAGGGGAGAAGAAACATAAATCATCATGCTTTCTTCTCATCCTCTCCCAGCCTTTGACAGTTTTCATCTCAGACCTCATGGTCTAGAAGTCTTTGTAGTTTGCAACCCTCAATGGATTTCTCTTGGACAAATACATCCACTCCACTGGAGGCCATCCACTCCACTGGAAGCCATACAAGCTTTTGATATCTTCAATATTCTGTTTCACAGTCTAACTAAATGCTTTCTGAAAAATATCCTCCTTTTGGTTGTTTTGAGCTGTCACTTCCTAGACCTGTTAGTGTCCATAGTTCCTGCACGGCCCTCAGACTGCTCCTGCAGCCCAATATTTGTGTGCCGTGCTGAGGTGTACACAAACCACTTCCCAGCAGTGACCCAACGGTGGTGAGGCTGCTGCTTTTGCTAGTGTCAGTAGAAGGCATGGTCTGGAATTTCACTGTAACAAGGAAGGAAAGACTCAAATGTGAGGTTCACTGACTTCACAGGTATGCTCTATGAAATAACCTGGTGTTACAAAGCCTTGTCACTTCGCTGCTCTAATGTCTATCACGAGGAATTCATTTTCCTTGAGGAACTGGAAAGAAGATAGCAAAGGCAGCTTTGAAATATAGATAATGGTAATAAAGGAAACTCTAGCTACCTGAAGTCTGATTCAGTAGGTTGACTTGCTGAGCTAGGGCTCAGGAAACTATTATTTTTCCACTTGTGTCCACGGCTTACGGAGTGACACTAAAAAAGTCATTTATAAATCATATTGCCTTAGCTCGCCAATTTGCAAAAAGAACAGTACATGAACCCTTTAATAAAACCTACTCTGAAACTGGTTAAAAGCTTTGCACATTCTCTTTTTCTGTTATTTTTTTTTTCTCATAGATTTATTTCTTCTTAAAATCAATGGGTCATCGCTGTCATCCCGGCAGACAAAGAAGCTAATGGTGCAAAGGTGTGGAATCCTGTTCGAGTCTTTCACCTGAGAGAGAGAGATCTGTTTTGCCACAGAGGGGTAGTGGGTAGGGAAGAGAGAGAAGTGATTTAATCTGGACTAGGAATTATTTTAAATAATGTATTTATTTACCCCATTAAGTATTTACTTTATGCTGAATATAGACCAAATTGCCAAATATGGCAAA